TAAAAATAAATTTTTTTTATTCAATCTCAATCAGGATGTGAAATTGTAACTTATCGTTTTATCTATCAACTTTTTTTTTTTTTCAATGTAAGAAAGGCGCCATTTTTGAAGGTTCCCTTGGGTCTCCTAAATCTCAAGACTGGCCCTGCCTTCAATTTAAAGCGCGATGATAAGTTCTTGAGGGACACTGTTTTGAATCTCATGCTTGTAGGGCGAGACACACGACTAGTTCAGCTCTGACATGGTTTATTTGGCTTGTTTCGCAGCATCCAACCGTTGAAGAAAAGATCATAGAAGAGCTTAAATTGGTTATACCTGAAGGAGAAACTGAGAAATCGCAGCTTTTTGAGGAAAAAGAGCTAAGTAAGTTGGTTTATTTGCATGCTGCATTCTGTGAGTCATTGAGGCTTTACCCACCAGTTCCAATCCAACACAAGGAGCCCACTCAAGTGGACACACACTGCCCACGGGGCACCGTGTGCACCCGAAAATGAAAATACTTTTCTCTTTGTATGCAATGGGGAGGATGGAATTTGTGTGGGGAGAGGATTGCTTGGAGTTCAAGCCAGAGCGATGGCTATCTGACTGAGGAACAATCAAACATGAGCCATCTTACAAGTTCTTCACGTTCAATGCAGGACCGAGGACTTGTTTGGGGAAAGAAGTTGCTTTCACTCAAATGAAGGCGGTTTCGGTTGCAATAATCCATAACTACAATGTTAGAGTTGTGGAGGGTCACCCTGTGGTTCCTAATGCTTCTATCATTCTCTACATGAAGCATGGATTGAAGGTTAGAGTTGCCAATAGATGGATTTGAGAGGAGTACTTGGTTTGATGATGTTTTGAAGTGATTTTTAGTTGGGTTGTGTGTTTAAGTTGATGATCTATGTATTTGAGTTTTGGTATAAGTCTATTATGTAATAAGGAAGTGTGTGTGTGTTAGATTTGTTGTTTTTTCCCTTTGATATGTCATATTTTGAAGGAGAGAAATACAAACTCACACTTCTCTGTCTTGTTTCTTAGTAGGGTTGTAAGTGGTTGGTTGGATTCTTTTGTTTTTTTGTTTGGTGTTTGGATGGATTGTAAAAAGATAAGGTGATGGGATTATATGGCTATTTTTGTCAACTCCAAAATACAGATAGACATGACGATAGAAAAATATGCCTTGGATCGTCTATACTCAACAAGTCTCAATCCCATCCATGCACTCATAGGAAACCAACAATAATTGATACAATATTATTGAAAATCCTATCAAATTTTGCTATCAACAATTAAATCCTATTTTTGATAACTTGTTTCCGAAAAATTTATTTCTCCATTGTAATATGTTTTGTTCCAAGTTTACCTTAGAAATTTTAAAAATATGCAAATTCTATTAAATAAAAACGTAGACATAAAATTCATTTTTTTTTACCTCACCCTTTGAAAAGTATCTGGATTTGCTATGGTAGTATTCCCCTCTTTTAATGTAATATTAGTAAAACTAGGTTTTTTGAATTATTTACCACATATTTTCATTATATGAGACAACATAAAATGATGAATCTTATGCCAGAACTTTTGATCAAATTCTTGTTTATAATATTGTTCAATATAATTTGTTTAATTTTTACAATTAAAAATATAATTTTTAAGTAAATTGAATTTTTTTATACAATTTTTTATTTATATTTAATTATAAGGGTAGATTTGGAATAACAAGCCATTAAGAAGAAGCAAAATTTTTGGGAATAAGTTATGAAGAAAAAGACTTAATTATTCACAATGAAATTTGATTAGACTCATGAGGAATCTTAATAGTAAAATATAATTTATTGGTAAATTTTTTTAAAAGAAGAAATTAAAATAAAAAATAATTATTTCACTAATTTGATTGCTAATTTTATTAATCAGATTACATATAAGTCGGACATTCAATTTGACAAAATTGACGAATTTTTAACATTGAGAGGGGTTGGGTTAGGGATCATAATTTCTAATATGAAAGGGAAAAAAAAATGAATAGATAACTTATCTTACTAATTTAATTGGATAACTAATCTTATATTAATTTATAAAATTATTAATTCTTTCACTATTAATCAAATAAGGCCAAAGGAAATAAATAGAGAGATAGAGAGGGAGAAGGGATTGTTTGGTCACATAGAAAATAAAATTAAAAACATTATAAATTAATTCAACCAGAATAAATTGTATGATTTGATTTAATTTAATATCTTTAATATATGATTCAGTCTTGATTATTAAAATACGTGAATACACTCTAGGATTTGATCTATGATTTTAGGATTGGAGGTCCTGCTGCACGGCAAGTTTGCTCGGCAGTGTTTTGAACCTTTTTTTACAATTGTCAAACGGGTACAAAAAATATAATTATAAGTTTGCCGACAAGAATAGAGTTCTTTGGAGCATTGATTGACCCTCAACTAAAGGAGTCATTATTGGTTTGATTTGCATTATGTATAAGGCTTTGTCCAGTCTGGGATCGGACTGGATCGTGTTATTGAGCTTGTGGGGGTCCAACACAGGTCCCGTTTTGATAATTTGAATCGTCAATGTGTAGAACTCGTCGAGTAATATATGCTTGTAAAAAATCCCGTTGATCGGATATCAATAGCTATATGATCAAATCAGTTTCGTATTAAAAAAATTAGACGGTGAACAAATTAACGGTTGATAAAAAATTATTTTGATCACATAGCTATCGATATCCGATCAACGTGGTTTTTTATAGGCATATAGTATTCGACGATTTCTACATATCACACGGTTCAGATTATCAAAACGGAACCTATTGTGGGCTCCCACGAATCTAACAATATGATCCAATCTGATCTCGAAATAGACAGAAGTCTAGTTCACCTTGTACCGCATGAATAAATTAAAGGGGCCACTTGATGCTTCAAATCCAAAATGGGAGGACCAACAGCTACTTTTAGTGGTGGTTTGACTAAGTATATTTTTTAATTTTTTTATAAAGTATGAGTTGGGTATGAATTGAGTTTGAATTAATGTGATAGATAGGTGATGTGACTTAAATAAAATGATGTGATTTAAATAAGATAATGTCTTAAATAAGATAATGACTTCTTAACTATCGTATTTGTAATTTTTTTAAATTTAAATTTTGTCATATCATTATGTTTATATCATATTATATTCATAGGTCAGTGATAATTCTATTTACATTACATAATTTCTATTATTTGAAAAATTGAATCATTGAACACAAAAAATGATCACAGATAAATGCTTAAAAAATATGATAATTATAGTATTACTTTAATGTTGTGTTTGGATTACGAATTTGGATAAGAATTAAAAAAAAAAAAAAGAAAAAGAAGAAAAGAAAATGTATTACATTTTATTTATATTTTATCTACATTTAAAAAAAAAAATAATTCTACCCAAATTCATGCAAAAGACCATTGTAACCCTTAAAATGATCATGTAGAGAGAGGGAGAAAAAGGGAGAGAGCAGACTTCTACCTTTCACAAATAGGGCATGTTGGACCACTGATCCCAACAACAATATATGAGCCAAACAATATTTCCTTCCAGGCTAATGGAGACTTATGTGCTGGTATGATAGACCGGACTTTATACCAAACCGCCTTGATTAATGAAATTAATAGTAAAAAATTAATAATTTTATGAAATAGTGTAAGATTAATAATTCAATTAAATTAGTGAGATAACTATTTTTTTCTTTTACTTTTATACTTAAAATTATGATTCTAAATCTCTCTCAATATTAAAAATTTGTCAATTTCATTGGATTAAATGTCCGTCATACATGTAATCTGATTAATAAAATTTGTGATCAAACATGGGATCATGAATCCATGGACTAACAATTTCAATCATATGCTATAATCATACTAATAAAACATGTCCAACAAGTCTTACTTTAAATTAATAGGGCTATGTTTTCAATTTTAACCTTACAAACTAATCTGTTAATCCACGATTTTCACAACAAATTCTCTACTTTTTAATGATTTCAACTGCAAAAGTAGGATTTTTGAAACTAATATATCTAGAAAAATCTCACTCAAAGATTTATTGGGTAATAATTTTGCGAAAACAACTTGTGTTTTTTAGTTCTCACCCCGAGCTTGGGCTGAACTTCTTAAATACCAATTCAGTATGGGCCCATCTTTGCTCATAGGCCGAATGCAAATTGGGCCTGACATATATGATATAACAATACAAAATAATAAGAAACTGAAAAGTCCTGCTAGAAACACTGTAGAAAATTTGAGTTTTAGTGGCGTTTTAAAAATTTAGTGGCATTTTTAAAACGCCGCTAAAAGCCTGAAAAATGCCGTAAAATGTTACGGCAACATTTAAAATTTTCATCGTTGATTCGGCCGCCATAATAGCTTTACAATGTTTGTAAATCGTCGCTAAAACTATTAGATGTCGTTTTTTAAAATGCCACAATCTTTTACGTCCGCTTTCATTTCCGTCACAGACTAACGCATCATCATGACGTCATTTAGTGGCATTTTTTAAAAAACGCCACCTTTTTTTTGTTTTCTCTCCTGATTCTGAAATATGATCAGAATTACAACCAGATAAAAATATTCACCTAATATCACACAAGCAGCCAGCTACCAAAGAGGTTTTTTTTTTTTTTTTGGAGTGAATAAGTCATAAAATAAAACAAAAAAATTTACAAGTTTCCAACAAAAAAATTTACAAGTTTCCAAGGGCCATACCCCAAAGAGGTATTTTTTATTTATTTTATTTTTTTTGAGTGAATAAGTCATAAAATAAAACAAAAAAATTTACAAGTTTCCAAGGGTCATACCCCAGGACTTACCACAACTAAACAGGGCTAAAGCCTAAACAGATCTGCAACTAAAAGATTGGATCCAAATAACTTGTTCAACATCCACATATACAAAGGAAATAGGGATAATGAACAAGTTCAAAAGACCACCAAACCGAATCCTAACCAAAATAAAGTCTAGCCAACAAAATTCCATCCATTCCTCTATACACTCTAGCATCAACCTGGACAATATGTAGACCATATGCATATATCTTCATGTCCCAACAGAGATAAAGCTGACCTAGAATTATAAGAGCACACATATGAAATATAGCATTAAGGACCAATATAACACTGTTTGTAGCAAACTCACAACATAGGACAACTAAATCACTCAATCCACACAGTGAACACTCAGCTCAATAAAGAATAACAGTGTTAAATGGAGTATTGAGTTCATAGGAAAATAGGCTAAAAGATGACAACTCCAACAACTTATAGCTCTCCTCACTCCAAGTACTGCTTAGTCAAACAGCTTAACAAAGCCTCCAGAAGTAAAATTAATAGGGGTAATAAAAACATAGCTATGCTACATTGAACTTTTAGAATGATAAGCATGTTATTAAATAATTGAAAAGAAAACAGCCCCTCATCCTCTCAGGTCCAAGATCTTTCATTCATCTTTTGATTTTCATCAAAATCTTTAACCTAACAATGATTTGATAACATCTGACAAAAACTACAAAGAAACTCCCAATTATAATAATACCCAAAAAAGTGTGGAAGGAACTATGGTTTGGATGATAGCTGCCTAAGATTGTACTTGGCCAATTCCTTGTATTTCTCAATAACTCCCATCAAGCACACAGTCTATGAAAGAAAAGTTAACAAACTTATAATCACGATCATTGTACCCCAAATTAAAGAAACTTATAATGCATGACGATGACATATAATATTTAGACAATTCAATACAATGTCATTCAGTTGCAAACCTGTGTGATAATCTCTTTATCTGTAGCATTGGATTGCGCCCCAAGCTCCTTCATTTGTGTCGGCAATTGTTAATTAGTTAATTAGCCATCAATAAAATTTATATCAACAAAACTGAAAAGAGAATCATGAAAACAATCATAGCTATGTGTGAGAGAGAGAAGCAACCAGGCTACATACTATCACCTCAGCAACTTTATCAGTACTTGGTTTGTTATCCTTTGAGTACCCAGCCATCCACACCTTTAAGCAAGTTGCAGGAACTCCATTCTTCTTATTTGTTTCCTATAATCACAATTAAAAATGAGTAACAAAATCAAAATATACAATTTCAATTTGATATATAAAGAAACTATTTACCTCTACTCAAGCAACTAAGAATGGTTTTCTGCCGGTTATGTGATTTAATGTCTTCTTCTTCCGAATTTATTTGTTTTTTGTACTTTTTTTCTATTACATATGAACACAAATACAAGATAATTTATTAATTAACAAACTCATCTTATGAGATTACAATAGAGTTCAATAAACAATTTAATACAAACAATTCATTGAACTAGCAACATTAAATGATACCTGTGTCTTCCGAGTGGCCCAATAATAGAGCAAGCTCCGCCATTGATGCTCATGTACTCTTTCGGGTCGATGAGTTAGCATATCAACATCATTGTCGAATGACATATATCCTATTTTTTTAACTCTAGCCTTCTACTCTTTTCATTTTTTTTCAACAAATGCCAAAATAACTTCTTCGTCGACTCGTCAGCATTTGTATTAACTTGCAAATAATTGGTAACTTTAACTATTAAGTACTCAACAGGCACCAAAATAAATTAAAAGTTTTTTTGTTTTTTTGATTTTTTAATCAATAAACTAATAAGTTGCCTTTTTTTTTACCTTCTCAAAAGAGGCTTATATATATATATATATATATCAATATTTATACAAATAGCATTTTCTTACTTAAAATGAATTTTTTAATACTCCATATTTTTTTAATGGAGTTACAATTGCTGATACATAGAGGAATATAGAGTGTTTCTGAAAGCAACCCCATAACTAGATGATGATCTTGATTTCACAACTTATAAAAATATATATGGGTCTATCATTGTAATTTTTACTGTATATTACTATTCGTATTATCAAGTGATAAAGACTTGAGGATAGATTTAAAATCTTGAATTCAAGTCACCTCAAGAGTCATTAGAGATTTATTTGATTGTTAATTGCAGAACTCTAAGAATAATTGACATGCAGGTAAACTAGTTAGGACACTCAATTAAAAACAAAAATTAAATAAGTAAAAATACACTACTGCCCATATATATGTAGTTGCAATACCAATCATAAGTACATGACACAAATTTAAAGTACCTGCAACCCAAATCCTCATCATAAAATGATTAAGGTTAACTAACACGAAAAATCGTGAAATATTATATATAACAAAAATCCAGGTGGATTCGTGGTGATTTAGTTGCTAGATTTTGACAGATGTCCAAATCTAGTTGTAAGTATATGAACTAATTGGCCAATCATTAAAGGGTCCACTTCCACCAAAGATACAATCTATGGGGACTATCAACATTGATCTATCCAACTTCTTAGACTATCCACCAGCAAGCTTAGATGGTCCCAACCTTTAATGTTTTGAGATTTTTATATAATCATATGATTGGCAAGGTTTTAGAATAGAAAGACAAAAACAAATTGGAGATAAAGATTCCAGAAGTAAAAACATGTGATCTTCTTCAAAACAACTACCTTCGCCAACAATTTCAAATTTCCCATAGGCCTCACAAGTTTATTGATTCAAATTTTTTGGATTCTCTAAATTTCCCAAGGAAGAGCTATTGATATTCTCATAATTGCAGGGAAAGATGCACTCTAGGGTTGGGTAAAGTTACTTGGGCCGAAAAAATAACAGATGAAAATTTTAGTTACAAGGTGATCATGAAGATCTTATCCAACAGGCTAAGTTGACTTCTTCCTGCAAAATAAATTCAGGTTCATGAATTATGATATTGGTTATAAAACTGATGGCATATAGTGCTCACAAGAATGTTAGAATTTGATTTTTATCCTCTAGAGTATGAGAAACATACAAAACATTAATGGAAGATATCCCGACTTCTGGAAGCAACAAAATGCATAGAAAAACAAGACACTATCCCTATAATTAAAGGAAAAAGGTATGTCTTCAAAAAGAAAATGAAACAAATAAGGCTATTCATACCCAAGAAACCATCTTAAACTGGAGTATCCGTTTAAGTGGATCCAAGGAATAACTAAAAATTTAATTACAACTAGTTCCAGAAACTAAATGGAACTTCATAGGCACTTTTCAAAACATATATCCACTGAGCTGTACTACTATTCTAGGTCCATTCAAAACCCAACTATGACCATCATAAATACAAAATATACACTGACATGTTCTGTGCCGAACCCCTTCAAAACCCCAATTATTGACCACAACATACATACAAATTGACTACACTAACAAAAGCCTACATAACTTGGTAGCATTGCCTACTTTAGAACAAGTTCAGTACAACATATATAGTAGTGCCCACTCTTTGAAGAAGTACCAGCCTGGTTAGAAAAACGAAATTGTATACAACATTGTATCCATGGTGGATTCCTTGGAGAATTATCATTGTTTTCAGGCAAACCAAGTACTTTATTCATCCTGGCAGAATATTCAAAAGAGAAGTCGTCGAGTAAGCAATGAAACACAACATCCAATTCAAGACAGGGATCAAGTGAATATTAACTAGTTTTCCCCCCAAACAGATTGCAATGCTAAAATCATAAATAATCTAAAGAACTAGAACAGTAAGATCATCACAAATTATATAAACTAGTTTTTTTTTTTTTTTAGAATGAAAAAATTACAAAGTTAATCAACAGATTTAACAATGAGAAAGTAGACAATAAAAAATGTACTTGAGATAAGAGCAAGAGAGATCAATTTGGTTCAAGAATGATACAAATTTTGGGTCTGCGATTTGATGAAGAACAAATCGAGTATGAGTTCGAGTTCGATGAAGAACAGCTAGAGCAAAGCCCTCGAGCGACAGAGATCGATAAAGAACAGATAGAGAGTTCGATTGCGAGCAACAGAGATCGATGAAGCGCAAACCATGGTGTGTGAGAATGAGATAACAGAGATCAAATGCAAAATCTGCAATTAAGTGAGCGAGTTTGTTTGAGAATGAGAGTGGAAGTGATAGTGAGAGCTTCAAATCGAGGGTTTTGGAAGAGAGGGAGACTGAGTTGTGAAAGAGACTGAGAAAGAGAGAGACTGGGTTAAAAGAGACGGAGGTTTGGACGGTCAATAACTTGGCCTAATACGACGTCGTTTAACTGATATCAGAGACAACGCGTGTGTTTGGAGATAAATTTTCAAAAAAGATTTTGGGAAGAGACTTTAGAAATTTTTTTGGTTTGTTTGATTGTATATTTTAGAAATTATTTTGGAGTATAGGAGTTTGGAATGATTTGATATTTTGTTGTAATTGAGTAGATGTATATGAGAGAAAAAGTGATTGAAAAGGAAAGATGAGAGAAAAAAAAGTGATTGATTGATATATAAGAGAAAGAAAGTGATTTTAGAAATTTTTTTCCAAAATCACTAAACCAAACAAAATTTTGAAATTTTTTTTCCAAAATTTGTTTCTCAAAAGAAACCAAACAAGGCCAACGTTTTCAAAATGTTGTGTTTCATTAATTTATAATGGCATTTTCATAAACGCTATAAAAGAACAGTTGCAATAGCCCCTTTTTCTTGTAGTGAAAGATGGGTGTATTAATAAATCTTCTTAAATTTTTTATGAATCAAAAAGTCATATTTACTTTTAATTGTTACCAAAAATTCTATTTTTTTATTATTTTAGCAACATTTTTATATAAAAAAAAAAGTATTACTAATGGTTAGTTTTTAGCGTCAGTTGAAAAAATGTTATAGAGAAATGTCACTAACACTTGTGGGACTTCTGATCTATACAAACACTTGTGAGAGTTAGGGATTGTTTGGGAAGTGCTAGAATAGTATACTTTTTAACTTTTTAAAAAAAAAAAAAAAAAGTTGAGATTGAAATAATGTGATAAAGAGATGATTTGACTCAAATAAGATAACGTACTGAAATAGCATATGCTATTTTAGCACATGCCAAACAAACACTTAATGGTGCACAGGTCCTTATAACAAGACCCATGGATAATTAACCCAAATAATAATAATAATAATAATAATAATAATAATAATAATAATAATAATAATATGCATAAGATCAAGAGAGAAACAATCTTCCCCCATTAAAATGGAAATCTTCATTCCATTGCATAAACTCAACACCATTTCTTCCTCATTATTTATTTATTTATTATTTTTTATTTTTTTAACACAAACAAACATTAAGCTAGATTAAAGGCGAAAGTTTACTGGTGAATAGACCAACATAAATTATGGTTATTCTTTGGTAATGACTTTACTATGTGATTTTGGTTAATATTTTATACTGTATCTTGTTGGGTCTGAGAGGCATGCTTCCAACATCGGAGTTCTTCAATGCTTGCTTGTTCACATTTTCCACCAACGTAAGAAGCTAAAGTTCCTACAATTTAAGTAATGTGACATTTTATGATTAGTTAAGAGATTAATATGTATTTGGAATCTTAATTATTTTAAGCGAACTGCGTATTTGTTTTGTTTTGTTTTGTTTTTTTTTTTATGTTAAATTTTTATTTAAGGTATGGATTAATTCTCTCCATTTGGTCATCTTAATTTGAGAGAGTGTTTCGGCTTGGTATACTTATTTTGGAGCCGACCTTGGGGATCTGTTTCTGAACCATTCACTTTTTAAATTCGTTGAGTAGAGTATTAAAAAAAAAAAATTCAAGATGATCCAATATCGATAGCTATATGTTTGAATCACAGTTATATTATAAAAAATAGATAGTTATTCAAAAAATTATATTTATCTCCTTTTTTTTTAAACAAATGTAATTAAATTATATAGCTATGAATGTCTATTCAACATAAGTTTTTATATGAATATTCTACCCAACAAGTCCTAAAAAATGAATGGTTCAGATTATCGAGGCTGGTCCCAAAATGGAGCCACCAAGCTCAAACGTTTATTAGAAGTTGGATGGCCAATTTGAGAGAATTCAAACCCTTATTTAAAAATATAAAAATTTAATTTGATAATTTTTAAATGACGAATTACTTGGATATTTTCTTTCTTCATTTTTTGCACTATCAAATTGTTCCACAACTATATTGCATAATTAGTACCAGTTAAAAATCTACATATATTAGGTAACATTGTGTATCATAGAAATATAGAAAAATTTTATTAGGTAGTGTTTGATTGACTGAAATGAAGTAGAATGAAATGATCATAATAAAAATATATTCACTCTCATTAGATTTAAAAAAAAAAAATCAAATTAAAGGAATCATCTTTCATCATTAAATAATCATCTTTCACCATTTTGACCATAGTAAGGCTTAAGAAATCACATTTCTATTCCATTCCATCTTATTTCGATGAACCAAACAGAGCACAAGGAAACGGTCACATTTAACAAAATTTTCACCCTCAAGCCATGCTTCATATAAGAGAGATGCTAATTGCTCCCATTTTTTTATCTTAGGTTTTCACTTTCTCTATTTATTTTTTTTTTTTATTACAAAATTACTCTAATATGAAATACTAACCTTATCCTCTTCCCTAATCGACAAAATTCTAACCTTAACCCTATCCC